GAAGTAACCAACCATAATTCTCTGCCACACATGTCATGGACTGAACTTATATCCCTTACAGGCAGCATCTCTGGTGAGCATGGACACATTGCCATAATCAGCTTAATCATTTAATTTGTTTGAATGTTTCATATATTGATTATATGTACTTCTTAACTTTTTTGTAATAGTTTCACCCTACCTTGTTTGGTTGATACCTTCCTGACCGGCCAATAGCAGATTGACAGCCGGGCAAGACGTTCCTCCTTCTGAGTGGGATATGAAGTCCTCTCAAAAGGCGCTGCTCACGCGGCCTTGCAGTGTCACCAGCTGTATCCACTGAACACTGCAGATCACATGACAATTGTAAACATTATCAAAAATCTTGATATATCATTACTGACAATGTAAGTATGTGAGCTAGCGAGCGCACCGTATAAGCAGCTAATGCACTAAAAAGGAACCACAAAGCCTTTCTTGTATATGCAACATAAAATTGGGAGTGCAGCGCTATAAAAAATAAATACATATGGTGTATACAATCAGCCGGATATGAATCCTACATAATAGAGTACTATAAACTGAATGGTAAACAGTCCCAGGTGATAAATATGACTTCAATCCAAACGAGTGTGTTCCAGTATCCCGACATGAAGGTATAGAAAGATTGCCCACTCACTGGAAGCACAATCTTAATGCGCGTATAGAGATCTCATGTAGCCGAAGGTCCTGTGAAAGTATTTTCGGTAGACTCTCTCTACGGAGATTGCATTGTAGGGTATTTATTTTCTTAAGCTTGCGCTATTCCTTTCTGTCGACTCTTTTCTTCCTCTCCCCTACTTTTTTGTCACCTCTCCCCCCCACTCCTCTTCTTCTCCCTCCTCCCCCCCCTTTTTTTTCCCCTTCCTTTCCCTTTCTCCCTCATTCGGTGGAGGGAGGGGGGGTTGAAGTGTTGTGACCGGTGCCGCCATGGCAATGAAGATCCTCTCTTGGACCATTAAGAGATTGAATTCTAAGAAATGAACGAGCTGCTTGGCAGAACTCTGAAGACATAGAGACATAAAGCGCAGATAGTCTTCCTTCAGGAAACTCATTTTAAACTATACAACAAGAATTTTCCAGGGGTTTATCAAAGTCCATCTCCATCCTCTAAATCCAAGGGTACCAACATTTTAATATTGAACTCTCTTCCCTGGCAAATCCTTGATGTCCACATGGATCATGAGGGCAGGTTCTTGCTGATTAAAGGCCAGATCTATGTACATACATTTATCCTTGCAAACATTTACTTGCCCAACAGTGACCTCCTTCAAACCCTGGAGAAATTCCTCTCTATACTCGACTAATTTTAGCGGGGACTCAAATATTGGGGGGTGATTTTAATCTGACCCTAGGCCCTCACTGAGACTCCTCTAAGGGCTCCTACTTTTTACCCTGGAAGGTTAGGGACCATCTTTTAGACCTTCTCCATTCCGATCAACTTATAAATATTTGGAAGATATTACACCAACAGTAAAAGGATTTTACCTTCTTCTCTTCTTTGTATGGCTCCTATACTAGAATTGATTTCTTCCTGCTTAGACACTCGACCATCCCCCAGGTCTCCAAGGCGGAAATTGGTAATATCGCTCTATCGGACCATGCACCAATCTTCTTGGAATTATCGGTGCACCCGACACGGCCTCAGTCATCATCTTGGCGACTCAATGAGTCCCTTCTGAAAGACCCTAGCATTGCTGCAGATATACTTCAAGTACTTACCACATTTTTTGCTAACAATGTAAATTCCCGCTCTCAGTATGGTCTGCCCATAAGTGCTTTGTACGAGGGATTCTGATTAAGCATGGCCATTTGGCCAAGCAGAACAGGGTGAAAATGTTGTCCGACCTCCTGACTCAGCTTCATGTCCTAGAGCACGCACATAAGATGGGATTGGATCATATGGTTGAAACTGACCTCTTGAGGGTCCGCGAATCTATTCGTGAACAGTCTCTTTATGAAGCTAAACATGTTTTATTGAAAGCCCGCCTCTCCTTCTATGAGTTTGGGGACAAATGTAGCCGATTATTGGCCAATGCACTGAGGACCAAACGTTCTCAAACCTATGCATCCACCCTTTCCTCCCCGTCAGGTCCAAAGATTGGCTCTTCTCCGCATCTAGCTAAAACTTCCAGAAATTTTTACTCTAAGCTCTACAACCTGGATCCCTCCTTGACGACTCCTCCAAGCTCAAAGATGCTCATGGATATATGCCAATATATACAGGATTCACATCTCCCAACACTTACAAATGACAAAAGAGATGCCTTGTCCCAACCTATCTCAGTGGAGAAATTCACTGTGGCACTTGCCTCTACCCAACCTGGAAACGCACTGTATCCAGATGGTTTTACCATAGCCTATTATAAATCCTTCCAGTCAATTCTAGCACCTCATTTCACTGCTGCCTTTAATGCTATTACAGACGGAAAAGTTGTTCCGTCCAATATTTTGCATGCTAACATATCTGTGATTCCCAAACCAGGTAACGATCCACTTTTGTGTGGTAGCTATAGACCTATCTTACTCCTGAATTGCGATTTGAAGCTTTTTACCAAAATAATCGCCTTGCGATTGTCCCCTTTATTACCCGGCATTATTTCGCTGGATCAGGTAGGCTTTGTCCCAACACGGGAGGCCCGAGATAACACCATAAGGACTCTTTCTCTTGGATGTTTTACTCTCCAAGCATCGGCCAGTTGGCCTTGATGTAATAACCTCTTCAGTGATTTTAATTTCCTACCACCCTCTCTTACTGTATCGGAAGACGCATCCAAATGCGGGTCTAAGCACATATTAAAATCTCCTGCCACAACCAGACTCCCCCCTTTTGTATTCAAGATTTTGCATACCCTCCAGGAATACCATTTTGGATAGTACTTCGAATATAACTTAACATTTGTATCAAAGGTTAAATGTGTCTCTTGCAAGAACACTACATCTGTAGCATGTTGGTACATTTCCCTAAGGATCTTATGTCTTTTTGTCGGAGAGTTTAATCCTTTTACTTTATATGTCATAAACTTGAGCAAGCTCATTTGTAGAATTCCTTTTCTCTCCTTCTTTCACCTATATCGGGGACACAGATATTGATAACTTGAGAACTGGACCTTTTCCCCCCATCCAACCACCCCCCCCTATTTATTCTTCCTCCCCCCAACCCCCCTCCCCCTACTCCCCCCAACGTCCCTCCCATAAAACTTCTGTGGCCTACATGATGCCCTGGAATCTGTTGTGGATAATTTCCACAGGTGATTCCATATTTGGGTTGAGACTCTGAACACACACTATAGGAAGTATGGGTAAATGTTAGCGCCTAAAGGTACTGAGTAAGCAAAATAATGAGTAAATAATGGAAAATGATTAAAAAAGCAGCCAAGCACAAGGTAACCAAGCAAACCCTCCACTAAATTAAACAAGATAAAGTGAGATGCACTTTATCTTGTTTCTGAACACACACGTCCACTCCAATCCCTAGTTCATATCATTAGTTAGATTGCAGTCTGACAGCCTGTTCAACCTCTGGGCTGCCCACCAAATCAAATTTCTCCCTTTTTATCCCCTCTTTCCCTCCCTACCACTACCACTTGTAACAGCGTATACCCAGAGATGGACGCGGTTCAACCATTTTGGTTTCAACCTCCATCTTGGCAAAGGGGTTAACTGTCCTGACACATATATTTCTCCCTTATCCTTCCCCCCCCCACCCCTCCCTCTCACTCAGAGAAGACATCTGGCCAGTGTGTGTATGTGTACTGTTTATGGGTCACTGGCTGGCCAAGACATCTCAGCTAGGTGTCGAGCTGTCTGTGAAAGCTGTATCCTTTCTCACCTAGGAAGAGATAGGACCAGCTTTCCCAAGAGAGCTGGAGTCTCACTGGCCAAAGTACCTGTGTAATTTCACGCCTCGTGAAGGGATAGCTGAGCCCTCCCAGGAGTTGAAAGGGACTCTGAGCTAATAAACCTAGCTCAGCGTAGGTGACAGAATTAGATGAACACTTCTCAAATCAATTTTTATCTTGGAATATGAGAGACTTACATATAAACCTGACACCTCGTCAGATGGCCAATGAGCTGGTGAACAGTTTAATGGGTCACTCGCCTATCTCGGACCATCAGGGAAGCCGAAAACATAGAACTTGTGAACCGTGCAATATATAATTTCATAACTCATATCTAAATAATCCTCAGCCTTGTCTGCATAATAATATACCCGCGGGTGGACTGTCGCTTGTGCAGATGGAAAGTTATGGACCAGAATATGAATTATGAAAGATGTGGGCTCCAGTTTAGGGTTCCGCCTGACGTTCCCTCCCTAAACAGGGGATTGGTCTTTTACTTCAGAACCACCCCCTTCTGGGAAACTTTAAAGCAGGCTGTCAAGCCTAAGAAAGTTTAAGTTTGAAGACATCTCCCATTTTTAACATCAATATACCACCTGGGGAGACCTGTGCCTTTCACTCTGAAACGTGATCTGCTTACATCCAAGGCTTAATGGCAAGTAACTTAACCCTTTAACTTCTCCCTGTTATCTCTTTGCTGTGCTGTTTTCTTTGTACTGTATATATACATATCTTAGTTACCATATTTTCCAGCGTATAAGACGACTCCCTACTTTTCCTGTTAAAATATAGTGTTTGGGCTATACTTGCCATATAAGACTACCCCTCTTCCAACGCACACCAAATAAAAATTAAAAAACATCAGATTTGATTTCAATATGGTATGGTATTTCAGTATGGTATTCCAATGATGGGGTGCTATTCCTCCCACTGACACCAATGATGGGGCACGATTCCTCGCTCTGACACCAATGATGGGGCACTATTCCTCTCACTGACTCCAATGATGGGGCACTATTCCTCCCACTGTCACTAATGATGGGGCACTATTCCACCCACTGATACCAATGATGGGACACTATTCCTCCCACTGATACCAATGATGGGGCACTATTCCTCCCACTGTCACCAATGATGGTGCCCCATCATTTGTGTCAGTGTGTGAGGAATAGTGTCCCATCATTAGTGTCAGTGGGAGGAATAGTACTCCATCATTGGTGTCAGTGGGAGAAATGGTGCCCCATCATTGGTGTCAGTGGGAAGAATCGTGCCCCATCATTGGTGTCAGTGGGAGGAATAGTGTCCCATCATTGGTGTTGGTGTCAGTGGGAGGAATCGTGCCGTATCATTGGTGTCAGAGCGAGGAATCGTGCCCCATCATTGGTGTCAGAGCGAGGAATCATGCCCCATCATTGGTGTCAGAGCGACGAATTGTGCCCCATTATTGGTGTCAGTGGGAGGAATAGCACCCCATCATTGGTGTCAGTGGGAGGAATCGTGCCCCATCATTGGTATCAGTGGCAGGAATAGTGCCCCATCATTGGTATCAGTGGCAGGAATCGTGCCCCATCATTGGTATCAGTGGCAGGAATAGTGCCCCATCATTGGTGTCAGGGGGAGGAATAGTGCCCCATCATTGGTGTCAGGGGGAAGAATAGTGCCCCATCATTGGTATCAGTGGGAGGAATAGTGGCCCATCATTGGTGTCAGTTGGAGGAATAGTGCCCCATCATTAGTATCAGTGGAGGGAATAGTGCCCCATCGTTGGTGTCAGTGGGGGGGAGGAAAAGTGCCCCATCGTTGGTGTCAGTGGGAGGAATAATGCCCCATCATTAATATCAGTGACACCAATGATGTGGCACTATTCCTCCCACTGACACCAATTACACTTGCTGACCCCTGTTCCAGTATGGTACTGCTACAGCCAGCATATATGGTTGCAGCAGCACCTCTGCACGGCACACTTACCGGCCGCTCCTTCACTCGATTTTTGTGGGGCCGCTCGGCTCCGCCTCCTCGCCGGTGATTGGCTGCCTTTGTGCCTTTCCTGAGCTACAGTTCTGGCGGCCAATCACCGGTGAGGAGGCGGAGCCGAGCAGCCGCGTGAACATCCAGTGGCCGAACTGAATGAAGGAGCAGCCGCGCTTCCTGGACTGGATCGTCGTGGGACTGGGACTGGAGCCAGGTAAGAAACAGCAGCCCCTGCCCACCCCTGTACTTAGTGTCCCTTCCGTTGGAAGCTAGGGGTGGTGGCGGCACCGCGCCGCCCCCCTAAAAAGTGCCGCCCTGACACCAAGTGTCAGTATGCCGTATACCGCCGTATAAGATAACCCCTGACTTTTGAGAAGATTTTCAAGGGGTAAAAAGTCATCTTATACGCCGGAAAATACGGTACATCTTCTCTGTAAATATTTATATTGCACCTGTTTGACCCTTTTAGTAATAAATCTCTCTTTCTGAAAGTGTTGAACTGTTTCTATAGCTCTTATTTGCAATTTACGAATCTCTACCTTTAAAGAGATGCTACTGTTTGTTTTAACCCTCTGTATAACAGGCCTGTATTATGACCAGGTTATGCAGTCGATTATATCAACCATTATAGTATTATAGCTGAACGCCGAGTTTCCTCTTTCTCTGATCAAAAAGGAGGTGGTTAATTGCGTAATTAACCTGACCCATTAACAATCGATTCAGGCTGCTGGCACATCGATCGGTATTCAATAGCTGGAAAATCGTCGTGCAGGGTGCAGCTGGGTGTGGCATTGTTACGCACGTCACATCGCGGTTGTAGATCAGCTAGCCATTCGGTCACGAGTTTGGTGAGAAGGTCTGGGGTCTGACGCCGTGATTGTGACACCACTCCTATGCAGGGCTGTATTACAGGCTGGGCAATCTATTTCTCAGCTGGGAGCGGGGGAGACAGAAAAAAAAAGTCTCTTACACCGTTCACCAAAAAAATATAAAACAAAATTATAGCCTCCCGACGCTTCTATCTACCTCCCTCCCCCCTCCCCGACCTCCTATATCCCTTACTTCTTCTTCCTGGTTACCTGCTGCCATTTTCCCACCCCTACTTTCATCCCTAACCTACTGACCACCCTTCAAGATCTATTTTTTGTAAGTCCAGTTTCTCTCAAAAGTCACTAAAGTCTTCAGGGAATCTCAGTCTTGCCGATTTCCCACCTTTCTGATCAAACACACCAGGAAGCCCCAATTGTATCGGACCTTTTTTTCTCTCAGATGTTCCAATAATGTTTCAAAGATCTTCTTCTTGCCAGTGGCTCTGTATAAATGTCAGCAAAAATATTTAACTTTGTTTCGTCATATTTGATTTCAATAGTGTCCCACAACTTTTTCCATATTCTTTCCCTGTCTACATAATTATTATAATTATCACATCTCTGGGGCGATCCATCAGAACACCAGCAGGCCGTCTAATCCTGTGTGCTCTTTTAAATTGCAGTTTTTCTGCCGCTGGTCTTCCCATTGTTGAGCTACACTGTTTTTTTTATTGTCTCAGCTTGATCTTCTTCCGGGAGACCCCGGATCCTTAGATTCCTTCATCTATCCCGATTTTCCTGATCCTCTATTTTGTATGCAAATTTTCTCTGTTCTCTGCGCATCTCCTCTACCTGCGTCTCCAATTTATTCATCAGTTGAGTATGAACTTCTACTCCCTCTTCTACCTCTTCCAATCTCGTTAATATTCATCCCAGATCATTGCGTAGTACACCCATCTCATTTTTCAAACACTGCTCCATTTCCGCCATATCTATTTTTGTTAGAATTTGTAACATGGCTCCATGCTGTTCCAAGGTACTTTGATCCATTACATTTTCCCCACTTATTTATTCCTTTATCAGGATCTCTTCCCGGGACCCTACTGACAGTCTGGAATGATTTCCATCTGTCCCACTTATTCCAGTTTGTTGTTTTTCCATAGATCGATTCTCCGGGCTTTTCTCCTGTAAGGGCATATCATTTTTTATTGTCGTAGTCATAACCTTCTATATTAAACCAAATAAAATCAAATTAAATGTAAATAAACTGGTCCTCCACCACTCTGTCTCCTGGATCTGTCCTCCACACTCTGCAGACCCCACAGAATGGTCTCTGACCCTCTTCACGGGACGGCTCCGGTGAGTCTCGGCACCCCACTGTTCAGTGGCTGGGCAACGAGGGACCGGGCTTCGCTCCTGTCTCATTCAGTCAGTGGCCGGGCAGCAAGGGATTCCCGAAGCACACGCTGCTCACGGCGCCATGTTTAGGCCCCCCCCCCAGAAAATGTTGATTCTAAAAGTAAAGTAAAGGTTTTTTCTCAAATGTCCGGAGCTTTAAATGTGTCCATACCTGCATTAACGATTACTATACTTCGCCCTACCTTTCCTTTTAAATGGGCTACGCAGTTTGGGAACTAAAATCCCAGCACACCTGGATGCTATCTACCCCCTTAATTTCAAACCTCTCCTGATGGTGTTGTCTGCTGATCTACAAAGGTGGGATTCCCTTGCCTTGTCGTGGTTTGATCTGTGTAACGTGTTGAAGATAAACGTTATGCCATGGTTATTGTACCTTTTACAGGCCCCACCAGTTAAACTGCCACAAGCTTTCTTTCATTCTGTGCACTCTGCATTCACTCGCTTTGTTTGGCATGGTAAACATCCATGCTTAAGTAGGAATTTGCTGTGCAGACCCAAGCTAAGGGGTGGCGTGGATTTTCCAGATCCTGCGTTATATTATACAGTGGTTCAGATGGCCAGAGTAGTGGACTGGTGTAGACACCAGAAGCACAAATTATGGGTCACATTGGAACAAGAACTGGTGGAAGCCCCGCTTGCAGGACTTCAATGGGGAGGAAAGCAACACCTATCCCACCTGAATGCTCACCCACTTACAGTGGGGCAAAAAAGTATTTAGTCAGCCACCAATTGTGCAAGTTCTCCCACTTAAAAAGATGAGAGAGGCCTGTAATTGGCATCTTAGGTAGACCTCAACTATGAGAGACAAAAATGAGAAAAAAAATCCAGACAATCACTTTGGCTGATTTGGAAAGAATTTATTTGCACATTATGGTGGAAAATAAGTATTTGGTCAATATCAAAAGTTCATCTCAATACTTTGTTATATATCCTTTGATGGCAATGACAGAGGTCAAACGTTTCCTGTAAGTCTTCACAAGGTTGGCACACACTGTTGCTGGTATGTTGGCCTATTCCTCCATGCAGATCTCCTCTAGAGCAGTGATGTTTTGGGGCTGCCGCTGGGCAACACGGACTTTCAACTCCCTCCAAAGGTTTTCTATGGGGTAAAGATCTGGAGACTGGCTAGGCCACTCCAGGACCTTGATATGCTTCTTACAAAGCCACTCCTTCGTTGCCGGGCGGTATGTTTTGGATCATTGTCATGTTGGAAGACCCAGCCACGTTTCATCTTCAATGCCCTTGCTGATGTAAGGAGGTTTGCACTCAAAATCTCACGATACATGGCCCCATTCATTCTGTCCTGTACATGGATCAGTTGTCCTGGTCCCTTTGTGGAGAAACAGCCCCAAAGCATGATGTTGCCACCCCCATGCTTCACAGTAGGTATGGTGTTCTTTGGATGCAACTCAGCATTCTCTCTCCTCCAAACACGACGAGTTGTGTTTCTACCAAACAGTTCTATTTTGGTTTCATCTGCCCATATGACATTCTCCCAATCCTCTTCTGGATCATCCAAATGCTCTCTAGCAAATTTCAGATGGGCCCGGACATGTACTGGCTTAAGCAGGGGGACACGTCTGGCACTGCAGGATCTGAGTCCCTGGCGGCGTAGTGTTACTGATGGTAGCCTTTGTTATGTTGGTCTCAGCTCTCTGCAGGTCATTCACTAGGTCCCCCCGTGTGGTCCTGGGATTTTTGCTCACCGTTCTTGTGATCATTTTGTCCCCACGGGGTGAGATCTTGCTTGGAGCCCCAGATCGAGGGAGATTATCAGTGGTCTTCTATGTTTTCCATTTTCTAATTATTGCTCCCACAGTTGATTTGTTCACACCAAGCTGCTTGCCTATTGCAGATTCAGTCTTCCCAGCCTGGTGCAGGTCTACAATTTTGTTTCTGTTGTCCTTCGACAGCTCTTTGGTCTTCACCATAGTGGAGTTTGGAGTGTGACTGTTTGAGGTTGTGGACAGATGTCTTTTATACTGATAACAAGTTCAAACAGGTGCCATTGATACAGGTAATGAGTGCAGGACAGAGGAGCCTCTTAAAGAAGAAGGTACAGGTCTGTGAGAGCCAGAAATCTTGCTTGTTTGTAGGTGACCAATTACTTATTTCCCACCATAATTTGCAAATAAATTATTTCCAAGTCAGTCAATGTGATTGTCTGGATTTTTTTTTCTCATTTTGTCTTTCATAGTTGAGGTCTACCTATGATGCCAATCACAGGCCTCTCTCATCTTTTTAAGTGGGAGAACTTGCACAATTGGTGGCTGACTAAATACTTTTTTGCCCCACTGTATAGATGTCGTGTTGGCTGAAATGAACAGACATTTTTTCCTTGGTGTCTTTGGAGAGCTTTCCCTCTCCCATGATGCCTATCATAGGTCACCCAGGGTTTCCACCTGGGCTTACTGATTCTAGCTTCCAATCCCTGACCTCCCAGGGTCTGCTCCATGCATCTCACTTTTTGCATCCCACTGGATTGGTTGCATTGGATACCTTGTTCCCCAGACCATCCACCTTGTTCACAGACTGTTGGAAGACCCTCCAACTATCCCACTTCCTGTATTCTCTGCCTAAACAT